AAAAAAAAAAAAGCAAGCTAGAATCCTGCCAACTCATTGTTATCTTTTAGGAGGGAAGTGAGTGGTACAAAGACTAGAAAAGTGCAGTGACAGCACTGGAGTCACTTCAGAGTTGACTGTCATTTCTCTCTGTCTCCCTCCCTCCTTTCTTTCCTCCCCTCCTTCCCTCTTTCCTCCCCTGCTTCCTTTCTTGCTTGATTTGAGAAAGTGAGGAATCAGGGATGGGAGTATGGAACCTTTGAGAACACAGCTTTCCCTTAGAAGAGTCAGAAGTGGGCATATGCAAAATGACAATCAAACCCTTCAACCCAGAGGCTGAATGGCTGCAGTCTGAGTATAAAAGCTTTTAATGCCAACCTGCTGAGAAGCTCTGCAGAGCCTGCTGGGTCAGGGAGACCCAGGTCCATGTGCTACTGCTTCCCCCTTCTCAGTGCTTTCTCTCCCTCCCTACCCCCCACACTTCCTGGCTCTACCACTGACCCCACATCAGTCACCTTTGCCTTGGGTATCCTTTAAAGGAGGTGCCAGGGGCAGAATTATCCCCATGTGATATGATGGGGGGAAGCTTGAGCACCAGAGAAGTTAGACTTGTCCCCATCACCCCACCACTTGGTCACGACCCCATCTCACCTTATGGCTTCTTCTCTCCCTCTACAGATGCTCACTGCTCTGCTGTCCAGTAGTCTGGCTTTTCTAGGAGCCTTGATTTGCTTTATCACTTCTGGTGTAGCCCTGAAAGATGGCCCTTTATGCATGTTCGATGCCTCATCCTTCAATCAGATGCAAGCTTGGAAATATGGTTACCCATTCAAAGACTTGCATAACAGGTAAATGGATGGAGTCTTTTCACAGAGGCAGAGAAAGATGACAGAAAGACACACAAACTCCTTTTGGTCACACATTCTAGCATCTCCTTTCTCTGGGAAGATGCTCAGAATTTTGCAGATGCAGCAACAATAGTTACCCTCAAAAGTCTAGTCCTTTGACCTTGGCTGGGGGAGGCACCAGGTTTCTATCGAGGTTGCTTATTTGGCTTTTATTTCTTTTTCCTCAAACCCTGGTCTCCTTATTTTTGGGGATAGGAATTATTTGTATGACCGTTCACTCTGGAACTCTGTCTGCCTGGAGCCTTCTAAAGCCGTCATCTGGCACGTGTCCTTCTTCTCCATCCTTCTGTGCGTCAGCCTCCTCCAGATTCTCCTGGTGGTCATTCATTTCATCAACAGCTTCTTGGGACTTTTCTGCAGCCTCTGTGAGAAGTGATAGGTAAATGCCCTTTCATGCGAGAGGGTTTTCCTCAGAAACTGTCTTGAATCCCTTCTGTAAGAAGTGGGTATGGATTGTAAACAAACTTCCTTTTTAGGTGCCTGTAACCATGATTCCTTGAGCATAGGCTGAATGATATTGGTGAATTTTGAATCACATTGTAAACTGCAAGTCATT